TTATATAAAAAAATTAAAATTCAAACACGAAATGAGATCGTGACTGTCAAACCGTCCCAAATTCAATTTAAGCCGTTGGGCTCATATGTTCATATGAACTAGTGGGCTAACCCCAGCATTTTATATATATATATATATATAGATGAGCCCAACGACCTAGATTAAATATAGGCCGATCTGATCTGACGGTCACGATCTCATTTCGTATTTTAATTTTAATTTTTTTCTACAAATCCAAATAATTTGAAATTTTACATGTGTATTATTCAAAAATAGAAAAATCCAATAAAAATATCAAAAATAATAATTTGCAAGAAATAAATTGCCCAAAATACCCCTGAAACGTTACAGATATTTTGATCAATTTATTTTTTGTGAATTATTTTTAAAATATTTTTATTAGGTGCGCCTTGATGAGAAGAATACACGCTTAAAATTTCAAATTATTTAAATTAGTAGAAAAAAATTAAAATTAAAATATGAAACGAGGTCGTGACTATCAGATCGACCCAGATTCAATCTTGACTGTTGGGCTCATATGTTCACATGAGCTAATGGGTTAATCTCAGCATTTTCCTATATATATATATATATATATAGGAAAAGAGAGAAGAACCAAGCACATACAAGAGAATGGTGTAATGTTTCATTGAACATAAGGCAACCAAAATTTTTGCAAGCACCTAAAAAAACAAAATATCTCATTTCCAATTTCCAATATTACAAATATAACTATATCGTACATTTAAAATAACATAATTAAAAAAAGGAAAAATATCTCCATACCTCACAATAAACCCAAGGTTTTAAAAGATATCTTGGGGCATAAAAAATTATAGAGTTTATTTCTTCTAACCCCTTGAGCTAATTTAAAACTATTTTTTTTGGATTAAATAAATCTAAAAAGACAGGTCCTTTTTAAAAACCATCCTTCGAAACTTCTAGAGAGAGAAGGGCTTCATAGAGGTGAGAGGTGACCGAGAGGAGAGAGGGTGTTGAAAGAAACACATTAGGAGAGAGAGTGTGAGGGACACAGGAAGAGAAAGAAATATAGAAGTTTGGGGTATATAAGTGAAGAAAGAAGGGATTGGGTATAGAAAGAGCATATCTTTCTCACATTTGTTTAAGTTAAAAAATAGGTTTAAAGGGGTCAGGAGGTTAAATATATCTTTTGAAATCTTGGGTTTATCAATAAAACCTAAAAATATGAGATACAGAGATATTTTCCCTTAAAAAAAATCAAGAACGATATTATCATGTACCAATCAAAAAGAAAATTTGATTTCTTCAAAAAAATAATTTTATCAAAAGGAATAATTTTATTAAGCAAAATAGAAAACCACTTCTCATATTCATCAAAAAACATAATTTTATTTAAAAAATTATATTTTATTAGAAAAATAATTTCATTTAAAAAAATAGAAAAACAATTCCCATATTCATAAAAAATAATAATTTTATTAAGTAAAATACATTTTTTTTGAGAAAATTTGATTTCTCAAAACCCCTAAAATCGAGCAACATTGTGAACAAGAAACGACCCTCAATGTATGGATAATTGAACAAATCAACATACATGCATTGGCTTCGATCATCTTTCAAACACACCAAATCTCATCAAAATATTTTTTGTATTTTTAATTTAACTGAAAAAATGGCGAAAATGTCAGATCTATGAAAATTTTCATGATATCCTGCAACAAAAAAATTCATATAAATTTTTTTTTTTTCAATCATAAATACACATACCTATTTCATTTGAGAGATTAAGCTTGATGATCAAAATCCACAACCAAATTTGATAAAAAAACGACCAATAAATTGATAAAAAATTTGTGTTTTTGCATCGAAAACAGATTCTTTGAGCAGCTGCCAGTGTTTGCAAAACCGGCCGATCTAACTGCTAATCGGCCAGTTAGATTGAAATTGCCCAGTGACCGGTTCCGGTTTTGTCCGATTTTAACGATCACCTATTATTTTAAACTCTAAATAAAATAATACTTCAAATTCATATCAAATGTATTAAGTTGGTTTATTGGTTAGCTTCAACGATTGGTTTTTACCTGAATCAGGTTTGAATTCCCCCCCCCCCCCATCGCCAGCGTTTCATACATTTGTTGCGCTTCATTCAATACATCGCCAGCTTCATACATTCATTGCGCCTTCATTCAGAAATTAATTCCGCGCTTCATACATACATCCATTTCTGCCATTTACTACTTAGCCGCCGGCGTTGTCATTTGCTACTATTATGTCATATTGGCTACTATTATGTCATTTGCTACTTAGTCTACTTAGTTGTTTTCTTTTAGGAATTGGTTGTTTAAAAAAACATACGCCATTTACTACTTTACTAGCAATTTTACTAGTTAGTAGTTAGTAGTTACTACTTTTAAAAACTAAGGGCTTATTTCATATATAAGATAATTTTCTTTAAAAAAAAGATCATTTTCTTTAAAAAAAAATGATCATTTTCTTTAAAAAAAATGATCATTTTCTTAAAAAAACAGAGTTCATTAAGTCGATTTTTTTAATACTATTTTAATATTCTTTACATTATGGTAAAGATTAAAAATATTTTGGTCATTGATACTCACTTTTATATTTTCCTATCTGTTTAGAACATTTTAAAAATACCCCTAAGCACAAATCAACTCGTTAAAATCCATTTTTTCATTAATTTTCAACTTCATTTGAGTGTGTTTTGTTTTAATCACAATATTTATGCTTTTCATATTTTAGTAAATTTTTTTATTTTTTTAACATTTTTTTAATCGTTCTGGACTTGCCCGGTTAGAGCGGTGGAATCGGCCTATTTACCAGTTAGCTAGTTAAATTGCTTCCAAGTCCATGTCCGGTTAACCACTCCGATTGGATTTTGCGAACACTGGCAACAACCTTTTGGGCCAAATCAAC